ATCAACCCTACTGGAATCTTCTTGATCAACACTATTGAAGCTCTCATGTGTAGGGTTCTCGATACAGATCTCTGATTTTTGAGATGGTTTGGACAGTATGGTGCTTGGCAGGGCAGCTGAGAGAGCATAGGAATGCGACTCGGCGGGAATGTCTCGTTCTTCACTCTCAGTCTCCGAAATCGGCCGTAACCCAGGTGAAGCCACTGTTGACGTGGATGCTGAGGTAGTTGACCTTTTTAAGCCCAGCTTTTTGAACGATTGGACACGGCTGAACCTCAACAAACTGTTGCTCTTCGAGCCGGCATCATCAGTGTCTTCCTCTGCGTCAGGGATTCTCGGGTACCGTGTTTGGTACCAGGGCAGGAAATAGTCGTTGAAAAGGTTAAGACTGCGAAATATGACCGCCAGAATGTTCTTGGTAATGAGCGCCGAAATCGGACGGTTAAACTTGAACCAAAGGACTAGTCTGACTATTGCACCAGTCAGGTTGATTACAAGCATATCCCAAAAGATGTAGGTAATCTTGAGAATGGATAGCTCTCGCTCCATGCAATTCATTGTCTCCATGTCATGTTTGTAGCTCAGCAGATCGATATAATGAGCAGACAATGTTTGGTTGGGATCATATGCATCATCCTCACTGCCATTTTCGCCATCTATGCTGCTGCTGCCGCTGGTTTTCTTCATTATGGGCTCGGAGCTGCTAAAGGAAGCTTGTAGTGACGTAGTCCCTGCTGATGAATGCAATCTAGACAATTTACGTGCATCCTGCTTGATGACATTGTTAGCTTTTAAGACGGCGCTGCGTCTTTTGAACTGCCACAAGGCAAAGAAGGGCAGAGTGAAGCAGGCCACTGTTAGGGTGATGATGAATGCGCCGAACGAACCCTCAATGGCGTCTATATAGACTGTCTCCTCGTGATCAGCCGTGGTATTGCATAGAGTGCACACTTGTAGAGTATTGCCACACTGGCCCACATCCCCTACTTCAAAGAACGCACCCAGGAACTCTACACCATCCATCATGCAGAAGGCGGCTTCAGCCATGTCGAAATCCAGCGGTGCATTGCTGCTCTTTAACAGTCCATGCTGACCATATCCGGACATGACCAGGAACAGAAACATTGCGGTCGAGCCTACAGCAAGCGTTGTGATCAGAGTGTTAGCACCCCAGCCAATGGCAGTCAGAAGACCAAAGGAGAGCTGCTGTTCCAGAACTGTGGTCGAGTTCTCCGCCTGCAGGTTGCGCTCCTGGCTTTGCCCTAGACACGTACCGGCTGCAGTCATCAGCCACGCGACTCTGGGGATAAACACCACGGCCATGTAGATACCCCAGGTCGCCGCCATGGTGGGGACGGGCAGGAACGGCATGTCAAGCTGCACCAGTGTCGTGCCACGCTTCACTATCATCAGAGTCCAGAAGAGGAGCAGGGCCAGATCACCGATGAGCCATAGCCACTGATCCGTGTTGCCAGTTTCACGACGTAGGAAGTTGTTTAGGATAATGCCCTGTATGAACTGGGCCACGAGAAAGATGATTAACGCTACAGTGGATGTGTACCGACCCATGCTGGCAGACAGGAGATAATGGTTGCAGAGACGGTTGTGGATCGCAGTTTCCAGATACTCGGATGACAAGTAAACACAGCGCACCACCAGTCCGGATGAATGTTGAGCCTCCTGGACCTGGGCCTATCTCGAGGCTCAGGTTAGGAAACCGTCGCTCTGAGACACACTACAAAAGACTTCACGCACAGAGCAATCCACTGTATAGCGCTGACAGCAGGAAAGCTATGAAATAATTAATAATTATAATGCCTCTTCTGATGGACACGTGTTGACACGTACAATAGTGATGTGAGGTTTACTTGAGCTACTCGTTTCTGCCGCAACGACGGTGCTAGCATGCTTGTCAAACGAAGACAGTGACGAAAGCAAACAATGTCACTGTAAGACGCTCAGCAGTCTTCTCGTCTAAGCCGGACTAGACTTGTGTTCAGAGGTCTGCAACTAACACTAACAGGCGAACAGTGCAGGAGCGCTGCTTTTGTTTACTTTTTCACACAGCAATGCAGCGCAGACATGTATGCTCGTAGACCTACTACTAGTAGTAGTAGAAGAACGATGCATTGGAAAATATCACGTGTACCAGTCCTAGTTATATTTGCACCTGCACAGTTAGGCTTTGTCCAACGAGTTGTACCAGTCTGTTGTACCGACTGTCAGCTGATTACCAGCTACTTCTACGGAATCCTGCCCTTGGCTAAAGCCGTAAAGGACATTATTACGAACACTACCTACACAGCTAGACATACGTCATCGTATAGTAGAGCGGCCGAGTGGTCGTGAAATTCCACCTGGAGAAACTCAGGCCAGCACATCGGAATGAGATGGAAGATCGGTACTTGGGGAGGTTCGGGGAAGGCTCCGCAGCCACCGGTAATTACTAGAAAAACCGTATATTATTACACTAGCGACTGCAGTAGCGCAGAGAGTTTTGTATACAATCCTGTACATGTGAATCCCAAATGCACCGGAGAGTAGTAGTCTATTTTTAGCTATCCACCGGAACACACTAGCAGGCTAGCTACCCACTGGTCCCCGAATAAGAAATGGGAGTGTCGACCAGTCAGCGCCCTACCCGCACTGAACGCTCTGACCAGCTTGCAAGGTTTCGTGTGAGAATCACCAAAACAAAGCTAGAGAGCAGAGTAGGAAACATGATAGTTTGAAGAATACCAAACACTTTTATAATAGTGTCACGCACCATCATCATCCCTCGATACAGGCATGTACAGCACTATGTCGACTCTGGTCCTTTGTTTTCTACAATGTATGTTTCTCCGTGTGCTTGGTTCTAGCTGCAGGCAACGGTGTGTTTTCTTGGGGAGGCGCTCTGAGCCGCTCTCAATACATGTACGCATAACACATGTTTAGCAGGTACTAGGTGGCAACGCCAACATGTGAACTGTGCATTAGTAGCTGTTGTTGCTGTTTCTTTATTTTACTTCACCATATGAACAGGCAAGACTGCCGTCTCACCGGGGGCTATTGGCCCACGGCTCTCACAATTATGATGAAAGTGTTTAATGTGCATGAAGAAGAAAGAGAAGGAAAAGAAGATCAAATGAAAGGACCGTAATAATTCACACCGTCACATGCGTGTACATGGGACCAGCTACCCACTGAGAAAGTCGGGGTAGAATCAAAATCCGGTTTGCTTTGGAGTTCACCATCATCATTTTCGTTCTCTCTTTAACTCCACTTTGATTGAGTACAGTCACGTATCAGTGTACGTACATCTACAATGTACATTGTACATGTACTAATCTCTGGTAGGGTCGGGCGGATTCTGCCGGCCATAAAATTGGCAGAATTCGGTACTTTTTCTGGTACGTTTCATGCATGTTTGGTATGTGGATAAAAAAATGGAGCAGAATTCGAGGAATTGCCCGCCATAAGGTTTGTATGGTTCGCAGAATCTGCCACCTTTTCGAGCAGAATCCGCCGGTCCCTAAAAGGCCTAATCTCTGGTCTGCCTTGAGTTTCTTTGGATTACAGTCATTACACGTTTTCAAATTTTCATTTTGGTTTCATCGTCGAGTTTCATCCGTTGTATCTTTGATTTTCTTCCTTCTTTCCATGTCGTATTGTTTGACTAATCTCTGGTCTGGTCTTTGTAAATAATGCCATACCCCACACGCACACACTGACTGCGGAACTGTCCAGGCAAGGCAGGACGGACACCCAGGTGATAAGCACTTGGCCACCTTCCGGCTTTGCGCGGCCGGCCGGGTCCTACACACATCACCAGTACAATTACATGTACATGTACATGTATGTACATGGACAGTCATGCACAGTCATGCACAATGTATAATGTACATGACTGTAGTCTGGCTAGAGTGAAAGATTGTTCTCAACATCACCAAAATTTTAAACGGGTTCGTCCATGCACACTCATCAACCCTCGTGCCCTATTACTGCTAACATTCATAGAAAGCACATACATGTACCTGCACACCACAATTCGCAATGTATACAGATTTCCCGAATGTTGCCTGAATAAGACAATCAAACAGAACATCTGCACAAAACGCCGCGCGTGCTTGAAAGGCCACTTCACTGACAAAGCAACGCACGGTGCATAGGCGAACACCATGATGGTGCCAGTTCTGTTTCGTTAGCTCCTACATCACATCAATACAGTACCTTCCCAGTGCCGCACCTGTCACGTACATTGTACATTTATGATGCGTCCTGGGTGAGTATGAGCTGTAATTTTCGTATATATTGTATTGATCATGGCGGTGATGACTGATTGTAGTTGTGGTTTGGACGTGCCAGTGATGGGTGGGGCCAGGCATGGAGTTCTTAAAAATTCTGTATCCGGATTCCGAGGCCAAGACTCGCGGCTCCTGTTGAGTGCCGTATTGATGATCTATGCTCTGTGGTGTACGCACACATGTACACACACACACACACACACACACACACACACACACTGTCACACACACACACACACACACACACACACACACACACACATGTACACACACACACTGTCACACACACACACACACACACACACACACACACACACACATGTACACACACACACATGCACACACAAACAAGCGCACGCATGCACACTCACACATAGCCCAGTATGTTACATACATGTACTTGTTGGCCCATATCAGTTTAACGTGTTGCTCATGGCGCCACAAGCCCTCCTCTACATGATCATTCCGTGCAGGTCTCTGGCGGCGGATTCCCGGGTATTTAGAAAGTAACAATTACGATGTACTTTGGCCACGAGTAGGAGTGTCAGTTCATCGTAGGTACACTGCATGTACGTGTACATGAAAAATATATAATCATGTCATAGTACCTATTTGGAGGCAATCAACGGACAACACTTCAGCCTGAAGGTGAAGCATTACCAAGGAACTATCCAGTCCTGGCTGTCAATAAGACAATTTTTAAAACTGTTGTTCCTGAACATCGAAACCAGGAACAGCATTCACATGTATAATGTAGGTCAATTAGGCGCCACACTCGACGGATGCTGCTTTATAAGCCGTACACTAAAGGTAAGTTATACCAGGGAGTACGTGGTGGTTTACTACTCACTGATCCAGAGAATCCTGATCCGCGCGCGTACCTGCACACGTCGGTAACTACCTGACCCTAATCTCACCCGTCGGGTGAAAACGGTTCTAAGGCAATCGTCAAATTGGTCTTGCCTGCTCGTGTCACCTCCCGGTATTTTACTTCTGCCTGGTTATACGTTTTAAATTGGACTTGAAGTAGGAGATAATACGTACATGTACATGTAGTTCACACTGTGGCCGCTGCAGTTCATAGTAGGCAGGGAGAGTACAGTTCACCTGAATTCTTCACCATCATTGCTCTAAGAAAAATTGTGTATTGGCTTCTTCGTAGGATTTCGCAATTATTGCAATTTTAAACTCTTTGTTTACATGTATATGTAGCTGGCTACTGAGTCAGATACATGTAGACAGGCTCCAGGAGACATCAATTCCAGTGTGCACGCACGCACGCACTGTGATAGTAGTGTACTACTGAAGTACCACTAATCTTGCCATTATGCTATTGATGTCGGTCCCATGTCGGTGAGACCTTGAGAGACGTAGACCTACCGCTTTCATCACCATCCTACTAGACGATCTCAAACGTGATTGCTCATTCCATCACTGTGCAATAATTATTATTATTGATGAATGACATGTACATGTACAATCATGTAGATGCATTTTCGCGTGAGAAAATCAATTTACATGTTGTTGTTGTAGTTGTTGTAGAAGTTTATTTAACGTCGCACCACAAACAGGCGATTTCGCCTCCTTTGATACATGTGGACGACAGAAGGAATGAGAGAGAGGGGGGGGGGGGGAGGGGGACAGAAGTATGGAGAGAGGAAGGGTAGAAATAAATAAGCAATCAACCTCAGGGCTACACCAAAGCAAAAACGGAATGGGAACATACTATATACAAAATAGCTTCATACATATTATTGCAAAACACGTTTACTATTCTTCAGTCCGCTATACCACAGAAACACACTAGCCGAAAAGCATTTAAACGGAGCCATGATGCGCTTTTAGCAGGGCACAGAACTGAAGGTGGCTGGGCTCGGAACGGAGATCAGGCGGGAGCTGGTTCCACAGGACTGCGCCGATGAACTGCATGGTCGCTCGACCCGCAGGACCGGGCCAAAATGGTACTCGAACGAGGTGATGTGCTGCTCCCCGAGTGCGGTCACCAGTAACTCTCACGAAGAAGCTGGTGAAGAGGGAGCTAGCTCGGGAGAACAGACAACGACGGACAAAGATGAGGAGCTTAATGTTAAACATGTCCTCCAGGGTGGTGAGGCGGAGCTGTTCAAAGATCGGGCTCGTGCGCGACCACGGTGGCAGACCGAAGAAGCCGCGGATAGCGCACTTCGTTAGACGTGTGAGGGGCTCCATGTTGCCAATTTGAAGTGACGGATAAAAGGCGTTGGAAGCGTACGACAACCTACCCTGGATCATCGACCTGTAAAACAGGATCTTTGACGCCAGGGTGAGGCTTCGGCGGCTCCGCCACAGCGCACCTACTGACTTCCGCACCTGCTGGATTGTGTGATTGACGTGAGGCTCCCAGGACATGTCAGGTGTACGTGTATATAATTGCCATGTTGCGTGGTGATGTCTGCGGCATTCTTACTTTTTATAGCTCTGATTAAACTGTTGTCTCCGCGAAGATTATTTGTATAGAATTGCATATCCGTTCGGCCGAATTCAAAGCCAATGGTCGACCGGCTCTGCGCGCCGGGAATGGGATGTGGGCCTAGGCCACAGGCGCACGCCACCCGCAAAGCCAAGTACTAGTACTAGCATGTCCAGGATTGCCACAAACTAGACTAGAGCAGTGCTCTGTTTGAACATGATTGACTTGTTTGCCGTTTTAAATAATCATCATAAAATTATACCACTTTTTTTTATTTTTTACTTAGGCCACAGCTTCCAATCATGACATGCATGATGCAAAGCAGCGTTGCAGCATCGCAGGCATGAATCGTGGACGTGGTGACGGGGTCTGATGTGCTTTAAACTCAGGTGGTAAGCCAAGGGAACATTGTAGCATGGAACATGTCAGTTCTGTGCTGAGATTGTGCACGTCTAGTCTGACTGTTCAGAATCTGATTGCATAACATGTGCCCACATTTTTCCATGTTGCCACATTTTCAACTCTCTCATCCTTTCAGATATTTATCCATTTTCTGACCAGACATACCTAAGTTGAAAAATCCTCCGAACTGGTCGTAGTGGTTGAGCGTCAGTTGTTGCCCATTAGCGGAGGCAACTGGTTTGATTCACGTTGTTGTTGATACCAATTTTGCTACATACTTTTACCATTTTAAACTCACCTTAACTGGAATCAGCCAAGTCGACATCCCAGAATGCTTTATTGGATTTTGGGGAAACGAATTAAGAAAGCTGCAATTTACATGTACATGTAGATGTACAAGGAAAAATTACTTCAGTAAGTTTTACGATAACAAATTGGACGCTCCCAAACTGGAGCTAGCGCTTTTATCGCCAGCCTGACTTGACTGACTCACGACTGCCATCCAGAGCACACGAGAAGTCCATGGAACATTCCACTTGGCAAACCTTCAAGAAAGCACCAGTCCACGATCAGTAGAGAGTGTTTCGGGGAATTCACTCCTCATCAGCTTAGCTTGAACAAGCTGAGGAAGAGTCAGTGTACCCGAAGGGTGGTAAAAAGTAAAGTAAAGTTCGCACATCCGCGTTGCCACCGGCTTACAGTTTTGTTGAGAGACCGAAGACGAGCGAAGAGCACCATACAGTCATGTACATTGTACATGTATGGTGCTTTCCGGGCCAAACTATCACCAGGGTTACAAACTTACAGAGATGCTCCGTTTCCAGTGCGGCAAGTACCTCGTGAGTAGATCTACCAGATGGTAGCGTGGATCAGTGTAGCTCATGGACATTCACATACATGTACATGTCATGCACATGTAGGTAGAAACTCAGACTGCAGACGCTATCCGTACCGTCAAGGCTGCCTATTATAATACATGTACGTTTCTATACAACGCTACAACAGAGCACAAGCAGAGTACAAGCAGAGTACAAGCAGAGTACAAGCAGAGCCGCGTTATCACAGTACAGGTATTGTACTGTGTACTGTACTGTGGTACCTCCCTTGCAACATCACAGACGCTTTTGATATTTCTCCTGCACTTATTTCCAACTTATTTGCAGTTTCAAATGTCCAACAATGTGAAGAAGAGGTTGGTGCGACCTTGGCGATAGTTGGTGAAGTGTGTGTTGCTCCCTACATGGGAGCTCGCGGCTTTCCTGCCGACTTGAATTCTCACTTGACTAACTCACGAGTCTAGTGCTGCCTGCTGTATACCTATTCTACCTGACCATACTACTTACAATGTACATGTGCATGTGATGTAAAAAGTAAAGTAAAGTTCGCACGTCCGCGTTACCACCGGCTATAATTGCGTTGAGAAACACAACTGTTGTTTGTTCTCTACGTCCGTGACATTGCGAAAGAGCTGTCCCCTTACAACGATCGTGACCCCATCCCCCTGCAATGTGTTGGTTTCCTTACTTGCTAGACTGATTTTATATGATTCTGGACTGATTTGAATCATATTATCTTCCTTATTGGCCATGGGCCATCGTGGAATAAAGAATAATAATAATAATTTTAATATGGCAATAAGTAGGACGAGCTGAAGCGACATGTGGACTACTTTATTAACAATGTAAGCGATGGAGACGATGCAAGAAACAACCTAAAGGGTACGGAAAAATACATGTAAGAAGAAAAAGGGCAATGAAAAAAAAGATGATTCGAACAAGTTTTCGTACAACACTCTTCAGGAATCACCGTTGTACTAAAGAACAAAATGAGAACAAAGGAAATAATAATTATAGCAATCAAGGTAGGGTGACACGATACAATGACAGCACTGGAATATCGAGGTGCGATTTCTCACAAAAGTGTGCAGAAAACAAGGGTATACAAGTAAGAACTAAGCGTGACAAGTGTGTATCAGCAACAAAAACAAAAAAGTGAGAACGAATGATAATAATAAACAAGAAGGTGACAAAACACATTTAGGCACAAGTGGCAACAACGTTGCCACACTACACAACAGAACATTATTTGAACAATTTTAGGGTAATAACACTATCTTTCTGGACACACAAATTCGGCTTATGAATGCGCTGACAAACAGCTTCCAAAACGTGTAACTGCAAAAGATAACCATGACGAGCACGGCACAAAACAGAAAAACAGGAATCAGAATAAGTACGACAACAGTCAGTACTAGAAATGGTTGTATACTGAAGACTTATTACGAGACGGACGCACACAATCTCGACTCACGCGCACACCCTCACACTCACTCTCACCCTCACTCAGCTCACCTTCTCCCTCACTGTCCGAATCAGAACCTGCTCCGTCATCCACCGCGGTTTGACTCTCCTCCTCACTTGCATCGTCCTGCATCTCACCTTCACCACCCACGCCAACCCACGCCTAAAATTGTTCAAATAATGTTCTGTTGTGTAGTGCGGCAACGTTGTTGCCACTTGTGCCTAAATGTGTTTTTTCACCTTCTTGTTTATTATTGTTATTATTATCATTCGTTCTCACTTTTTTGTTTTTGTTGCTGATACACACTTGTCACGCTTAGTTCTTACTTGTATACCCTTGTTTTCTGCACACTTTTGTGAGAAATCGCACCTCGATATTCCAGTGCTGTCATTGTATCGTGTCACCCTACCTTGATTGCTATATTATTTCCTTTGTTCTCATTTTGTTCTTTAGTACAACGGTGATTCCTGAAGAGTGTTGTACGAAAACTTGTTCGAATCATCTTTTTTTTCCATTGCCCTTTTTCTTCTTACATGTATTTTTCCTTACCCTTTAGGTTGTTTCTTGCATCGTCTCCATCGCTTACATTGTTAATAAAGTAGTCCACATGTCGCTTCAGCTCGTCCTACTTATTGCCATATTAAAATTATTGTCTCCTCGTCGAATTTTTAAATAATAATAATAATAATTGACTTGGGGCTCCCCGCGTGCTGGTTTGTACGTGAGGTGTGTGGGTTACAGTGAGGGCTGCGTCCCACCCGCCTGTGTGGATTCACAGGAAGTGTGAGTTACGAAGTCTGAAGAAAGCATTGAACGGCCTCTGCTGGGATGACGACTACACCATAGCTCAGTGGTTAGAGCATCGCTGGCTACAAGCGAGGGTCCCTGGTTCGAGTCCTGGTGGTGACAGTCAATTTTTTCTTCAGACTTTTCCCGTTTGTCTCTTTCCCTCAAACCAGTTGGTATTTTGTGACTTGGGGCTCCCCGCGTGCTGGTTTGAACGTGAGGTGTGTGGGTTACAGTGAGGGCTGCGTCCCACCCGCCTGTGTGGATTCACAGGAAGTGTGAGTTACGAAGTCTGAAGAAAACATTGAACGGCCTCTGCTGGGATGACGACTACACCATAGCTCAGTGGTTAGAGCATCGCTGGCTACAAGCGAGGGTCCCTGGTTCGAGTCCTGGTGGTGACAGTCAATTTTTTCTTCAGACTTTTCCCGTTTGTCTCTTTCCCTCAAACCAGTTGGTATTTTGTGACTTGGGGCTCCCCGCGTGCTGGTTTGTACGTGAGGTGTGTGGGTTACAGTGAGGGCTGCGTCCCACCCGCCTGTGTGGATTCACAGGAAGTGTGAGTTACGAAGTCTGAAGAAAACATTGAACGGCATCTGCTGGGATGACGACTACACCATAGCTCAGTGGTTAGAGCATCGCTGGCTACAAGCGAGGGTCCCTGGTTCGAGTCCTGGTGGTGACAGTCAATTTTTTCTTCAGACTTTTCCCGTTTGTCTCTTTCCCTCAAACCAGTTAATAATAATAATAATAATAATAATAATAATAACGTTGCGACCCTGCAATTTGCGGACGATATCTCAATTAGATCCAGCAGCATGAGCACGGATGAGGTGTCCCAAAATCTCTCAAGTGCTGTCCAGCACCTCGCCGATTGGCTTAGGATCCGCGGTCTCATCTTGAATGAAACGAAGACACAGATCATGTCGATATCGCCAGTACGATCTCAAACATTTGACTTGCAAGTGCAATGTAATGGACTGCCTCTGCCAACTGTTCGCTCTGCGAAATATTTAGGTCTCCACTTTGATGCGGACATGAGCTGGAACACCATGGTCGACCACGTCGCACGGGGCGTCGCGTCGAAAGTTGGCGTGCTCAGACGATACGCTACGTTCCTGCCTTTTCAATGTCGCATAGCCTATTTTCGTTCTTTCATTTTATCACACTTTATGTATGCCTCTTCTGCTTACTTACCATTTCTCACGGCATATCAAAGTCGACGGCTTAATGGGCTCTTCAAGCGTGCTGTACGTACAGTCTGTCGGGTACCTCCCGGGACACCCACAAGCAATATTCTTACACGCATGAACATCCAAACATTGACCACATACGCCAACATGCACCTTCTGGTATTTATCTGGCGTTGTCTCCATGACTCCTCTAACATCAGCATGTTGTTCGCTAACTTTTTCAGCCGCAGTAATTCCACTCGAACTCGTGGTGGGCACAGCAATTTACTGATTGTCCCAGCCAGCCCAACTGCATATCTTGCCAAACGTGTTACCTATGCTGGGACCATCTTATGGAACCAGCTCCCCGCTGCGGTCAGGCAAGAAAGAAAACGCAATCGCTTTAAGTCAATGGCTCTTGCCTTTTTTATTTCCAATCTGGCGGAAGGGAAACCAGACAACTAAGCGTAGCTTCAACACCTCGATGTTTACTCAGAACCCCCAGGTCTGTAGTCAATTCCAGGAGGAGGTAAACAAAGCACTGGCAACGCAACAAACGCAGCAGGGAACTGTTTCAGCTGAGGCACGTTTCGGAGGTGTGAGGGATGCACTGGAGTCGGCTGCAACAAAAACAGTTGGATATAAAAAGAGAGCCGAATGTAGCCGAAAAGCCCATGATCCTGGCATAGCCCTTCTATCAGCCCAACAAAAAGAACTGCGGGTAAAAATCGACTCGACAAAATGCCCAGACGGGAGGAAATCACTGAAACGCGATCGGAATCAGATATTACACCAGATACGAGATATCGCCCGGAACAACTCTGAAGCCCGCCTGGACTCCTTCGCTCAAGAAGTAGAGAAGCTGAAAAACAATGCAAGGGTCTTCCAAGCAGCCTCTTTGCTGCGGCGGCAGTCTCCCGCGCCATTGGTTGTTCATGACGCTCTTGGACGGATAATCGCCAACGATAAAGAAGCGGCAGAGAAGGTAGCTGACCACTTCAGGCAGCAGTTTCGGGATCCATCCGCAGTAAATGATATTCTGAGACCGCTGGGCTCGAAGTATCTTGAAGAAAGGATCAGCGCTGCGGAGGTTGCCCTGGCAATTAGATTACTGAAATCGCAGAGGGCAGCTGGGCCGGATGGCATCCCCGGGGACCTGATCAAGCATGCTGGTGAGAGGGTCGCACATGAGATCGCTGCCATTCTAAACCAATGTTTTGCGGATGGCAGTGGAATGGATCTTGGATGTGGAACACTAATCCCGCTCCCGAAACCAGGGAAACCCAGAGGGCCGCTAACCAGTATCAGGCCAATAATACTCTTGAACTCTATACGCAAATGCCTGTCAACAATCACACTTCGCAGGATTATGCCAAAGATTGACTCCTACCTATCTCCAACCCAGAGCGCTTCCCGTCCGGGTCGGAGTACCGCGGATATTGTCTGGTGTGGCCGGTGGCTGGCAGCCAAGGCTGAACGTTTCAAGTGGCAATGTACGGTCCTCGGAATGGATATGAGCAAGGCGTTCGACACAGTGCAGCGGGGAAGATTGGTGGAGGTAATGAAACAAATAGTTAACACAGATGAGGTACGAATGGTGGAGATGTTGTTGCACAACACAAGGCTAAGAGTGAAGATAAAGAATGCGCTCTCGGCAGAATTTCCAACATCAATAGGCATCCCACAAGGAGATAGTTTGTCGCCGGTGCTATTCACCTGTTATCTCGAAGCGACAATGCGTTGCCTGCGTCCCAGGATATCGCCAAGACCTGCCCTACTGAATATTGGAGGGACAGCCTACACGACTCTCGATATGTCCATACCTTGCGAAACAGCATACATGGACGACGTTAACCTGTACTCCACGGACCGTCAACATCTAGCGTGCGCACTAACAGAGGCAGAGGTAGTGTTCAAAGAGTGGAACCTCAACATCAACCCTACCAAGACCGAGTGGACCCATCTATACCAAGAAGAGGATGTTGCAAGAAGAGGTGAGGAACGATGGAGGTCCACCCAGTTGCTTGGTTCACTGTACGGAGTCACAGAAGACCTCAAGCGCCGGCGCCAGCAAGCCGCAGCTGCCTTCAACACACTTGTCAACCTGTGGATGCGGAGACAAGTTATCTCTGAAGCAACCCGCCTGAGGTTGTTTGATGCATTTGTGCTATCTATTTTGACCTACAACTGCGGCGTGTGGGTGCTTTCATCCCGGGATGCTACAGCAATGGATGCGTTCCACAGAAAGCAGCTCCGCCGTCTATTAGGGATATCTTACCCGGAAATTATCTCCAACACAGACCTATATGCCCGCTGCAATGCCGAGCCAATATCCGTACTAAGCAGAAGAGCACGGTGGAAACTGTTTGGTCATATTCTACGCCTCCCTGAAGCAACTCCAGCGCAGGTGAGCATGACAGCGTATTTCCAGCGACAGAATCGGGGCTGGCTCGGACGCCCGCGCATCACCCTACCAGTGGTGATAGACAACGAATTAGCTAAGGCAACGTCCATGCGTCTCCGGAGTCTGAAGGACCTGGAGACACTGCGTTTGGTGGCTCGGAACAGGCAATCATTCAACGATATAATCGCACAGGTCACATTGTAGAGTGCAGATCACCTAGTGCTTTCAACAATAATAACGTACTTCCACATTATGGGAATTTGGTATAACCCCACACCCGTCATCGTTGAATATTCGATAATAGCGTGGATTTCCCCAACAATAATTATATTTTCATTTTTTGTTATCCTCTCCCATGCCGTTGTACATAAGCGGCTTGCCGCGGATATGTCAATACTACTACTACTCTTGCCTTTTGCTTACCAGATAAATAAGCCTTTTTACAAATGCTGTATGCACTGCTCTTTACGTTATTTTCTCCCTATGCAAGTCGCAACTCCTGTTTTGAGTTGTTTTTCTTCTCTCTTTTTCTTTCCCTACTAGTTGCTGTTACACTCACTGATCCTTATGCACAGATATACAGCATTCCCTCACTAGTGGGACCATTGTTATTAGGCTAGGGCCTGTTTTGGACTTCCCACTCTAAATAAAGAATACAAACAAACAAACTGACGTACATGTATATAATTGTGTGTTTCACATTTTTATGTGACGGCGTTCCACTGAATAGCCACGAGAAAGCGTAATGGAACTTTAAAACTTTTTTATCTGAGTTGATGTTGTAATGAGTGATCTTACTTTTTACCCGGAATGATTCCCTTTTCTATGTTTATTACATACAATGTAAGCATGAGCCTCCCAAGTAACAGTTGGGTGGTTTGTTGCTTAGCGTCGTCGAGTTTTATAAGACCGGTATGTCCAATCACAGTGTCTTACGATACTGAGCCAGTAATAAATGAATAAATCTTGTTACAGTCGTGGACAGTGGCTGCATAACTCGTTCTCATGTGTTTCTTCTCTCTTTTTTTTTTACAGTGTCTTACTACTAGTACATTATGTACAATGTAGTTTCGTGATCATTCAGTAACCTTCTGCTTTCTTAGTTTACGTATTCGTGGAGACAGACATGAAATGAACGCAATAAATAAAGCAAGTTGTGCACTCAATAAGAGAAAAATCTGTTCGCTCTTAGTTGTTTAAAAATTTAGATCAGTGGCTCTCAGTGTTGTATATTGCACCCCCATGAAGTGGTAACTTATCTCTTTGTACATGTACATTGTAGCTTGTGATTGCAACTGTTTGCTTGATTAGTGGCTTTCACACCTCTCATGGTTCGCACGGACACTTGTAATAATACACCTCACGGCATTGTGAGTATTGTATGTGTTACTCGTTGATTTAGCTTTGCAGATTGGAACGAAAACGTTCCGGTAACCTGTGCGAACGGTGTGTGTATTGAACGCACATTCGCACAACTATTTACTTGCTTTATTTATTGCGTTGACCCTTAGTTACCGTGCACGCTTGGGACTTAGCTCGTGGTCTTCTTCGTTGTGCTTTCTTTTTCTCTCCTTTCATCCATGACTACATTGGCTTAGCGTCCGAGTTCAACTCTCCGTTTGTCACAATTCGTCTTCGTTTAGCTTCCCTTTTCCATGTCTGTTACATAAACTTGAGCCTCCCAAGTAACAGTTGGGTGGTCTGTTACTTTGCGTCGTCAACTTGTATTAAGACCGGTATCACTATTGTCTTACTGACACTTTTTCTGACTAGGGATCGGCGGATTCTGCTCGAAAAGCAGTGAAATTGGCAGAACCATACAAACCTTATGGCGGGCAATTCTTCGAATTCTGCTCCATGTCTTTATCCACATACCAAACATGCATGAAACTAATACTTACTAGAAAAAGTACCGAATTCTGCCAATTTTTTTGCCGGCAGGATCCGCCGGACCCTATTTCTGACTCTTTTTTCTTACCATTTTTTCAGTCTTTTCTGAGTCTTTTCTGAATCGCACCCACGTAAACGCATATCGAACAGCTATTGCTTACATGTATACACTGTATTTCGCGAAAGGATATGATTGGCTGTTTTTACTGCTTGGCTGACATGAACTCAGCGTGCACGTACGCGCACTTCTATCGTCCAAGAGCACAGCTACAGCCTTACAGGTGCAACGAGGTACATACATGTATTATTATGTCATTGTACTACTACCAAGACTACTACTGATAACTAGTTGGTTATTTCCGTGCCTACAGTCATGTGACATGCCAGAATGACCGTAGACTAAATATAGATGTACATGACTTGTACATGTACGCACCATGATTCTGGATATCGTGGGAGGTCTCATGAGTGAAGTCACAACTCACTGTAATCACAACTAAGAAAGTCTAACTCTAAGTGATGCTGTTCAGTCAGCTAGTATTACACTCTGCATGCCTCTGAGCTCCGCGTGTCTGTCATGACTCATGAGACTTAAAAAAGTAGAATGGCTTTTAATAGTCAACACTTGCTTTTTAAGTTGAAGGAGAAGGTTGGAAGCATGCTAGCAGCTAGTTTTAGAAAGTGACCGTACAAACGTACACAGTCATGTACATGTACAATGTTGTCTATCGTGTCGTCCACTACCGATGCAAGCTGACATTAAAATACTTGTCGCAGCCTTTTCTTTTGGCAGAAGCCTTGCGTCGGTGGCTGGTCAGCATGGAGTTCCTTCAGTTGACTCGTTTGCTGGTTTTCCTCGGTACCGTTGCGGTGTTTGTCCAACTAGACCTAGTTCGTAAAGTCTACAAGTACCTTCGCTGTCACTACTATGTGAGAAAGCTCCCCGTCCCTGCTGAACCACGATGGCTTACTGGACACTCGAGTTTCATACAGCCGGAAGCTGCCTTCCAGTTCCACTGCGACTATCTGAGCGATCCAGAGAAGCGTTTGCCCGGCGTGTTCCGCTATCACCTGTCTCAGTTTTTATACATGGTCAACGTCTTTGCGCCACATACCATAGAAGCCATGCTCGCTGGCTCGCATCCCAAGCTTTCCATCGTTGCTCATCTTACTAGCCCTGTCACTGGAGAAGGTGGGGTGTTATTCACCAATGGAGAGAAATGGGCACGCAAGAGGCGATTGGTTGCTCCTGGATTCCATAAGAAAGTCACACAAGACTATGTGAGCGTGTACGAATCAGTACTGGACTCGTTGATAAGCGACTGGTCTGAGCTCCTACTCAACTCCACCATCAAATCCGGACCGAAGAGCAAGTCCAGAGTATCCATGAACATGGCCTCGGCAAAACTAAGCATTAATGTGCTGGTGAGGTGTGTCATGAGCTACGAGCTCAGCGAGACAGAGACACTAGACTTCAAGCGAGCCACAGATGTTATGGCTCGGATGGTGCAGGAACGCGGAACTAACGCCTTTCTGTACCCGGATTCCATCTATTTTCGAACTGAAGCTGGTAAGGAATGTCTGAAACTATGCAACATTGTTCATACTGTGACGGATAATGTCATAGCCAATCGCAGGAAGCAGCTGTTGGACGATCCAGACGCCGCTGCACCGAAGAAGAACATTGATTTCCTGGACATCTTGCTGACTGCACGATACGAGGATGGTGCTGCGATGGACGATAGAGAACTCCGGGAAGAGGTAACTGTCTTCTTGATAGCTGGTATGTCATCATCTGTTGCATCACAGTGGCTATTCTACTACTTGGCGGCCAACCCGGATATCCAGCAACGATGTAGAGAAGAAGCACGTGCGGTGTTGTGCCCGGACGGTGGTGAGCCTGTGTTGACTGAGCAGAGTCTGAATTCTCTGCAATACATCACACAAGTCATAAAGGAAGTCCTGCGTATAGCCACACCAACTCCCCAGATTTATCGTGAGCTTGAGAAGGACACGATGATTGGCGGATACTTGATTCCTAGCGGAACCTGGGTCGTCCTCAGCATATGGGCTCTACATCACAATCCAGACATTTGGAAAAACCCGATGACTTTCAACCCATCTCGCTTCGACCCAGGTGGAGAAGCTTCGAAGGCTCCACCGTTCTCGTACGTGCCATTCAGTGGTGGTTCTCGGAACTGCATTGGAAAGAATGTGGGGTTTCAGCTGTTGCGAGCAGAAGTGGTGAAGATCCTGTTGCGCTTCAAGCTCTCCGTTCCTGATGACCTTCTGGACCTCAAACAGCATTTGATGCTGTTTATTGAACCTTCCAAGCCGATTGAACTGCTCATCGAGGAAGTTGGGGATTGCTGAGCTGGTGGTTTTTTGTTTTGTTTTTTACTGAACTCCACAGAACCATCAGATGCTACACAGCGGGGGCGGCGGCATATTGGATGGAAGTGGTAAAGAAACGGGCTTTTCCAAAAAATCCTGAGAAATGTTCAACAAAAATTTCAAAACACGACATTATTTCGTTCGCTAATCTCCGCTACCGTCGTCTCACGTGGCTGCAGAAGATGTTACGAGAGATAGGAGAGTCTCCAGCAGGCAGCGCATCCATCTTCAGGAAGTGGAAAGAGAAAATGTCATGGTCCTTGGTTGAGGTAAATGCTGAACGTTTGATTTGTCCCAACCAAGATTTCAGCACTTGGTTCGTCACGATTTTCGCTTGCCAGCTAACGTCTCCGCACTCCAGCTTCCCCTTGTCGGTGTCACGTCCCAGTACACAACGGAGAGGACTACTAATAAACAGTTCACGGCGCCAACATCGCTGAATACAGCACTTCTTTCACTTCGTGAATACAATAAGACAACTGAAAATGACACAATTCTGCATGCAGTGATCGATAGGCAGCGGCGGATTATGCCGGCATAATTATTGGCATAATTTGGTGGTTGAAAATTTGGAGCATAATTTGGCATCCTTTCGGAGGTAGGAGCATAACTACATGATTGTACCACAGTTCTAGTATGTACGTATGCTACTTGAAGTACACAATTGTGTACAATGCACCTGATCAGTGCTGGTGGTCTGCATGTTAAAGGTTCGGAGGTCATGCAGATAGTGTTTTCAATGAAAAGCAGGGTAGAAATCATGGCAATACAGTATTGTATGCTCGAACTCGTCTTGTTCAAAGTTCTTCCTCACACGGAAACAGTACATGTAGCAGAAGATGCAAGAGAATCAGCCTTTATCAGGTTTTTTTGTCTCAGTGACGTGTGGTAAAGCTTTTTTTAGCTCTGAAAAAATCTCGTGGTTGGGCGTTTTAGCCCCACATATGCCCGTTCCGGGATCATGGAGACCACTGATACATCTCGGGAACCAGCTGAAGTCGACCCATGGCGGAAAGTAAGCGCCAGGGACCTGATGGCCCGAACTGTGCTATTTCCAGCTCCAAAGGATTTGAAACTCGCCGAGTACGTGAGCTGCCTCGAGCAACACGGAATAGGAGCTGAGCTCATCCTATCTATCCAGGTCAGTTCGGTAGGCCAATGCAGATTAACGTTCACAGATATCCAGCTTGCCCAGTTAGTCGTGAAGAATGGCTTCCATATCAATGGACAACATATCCTTCCAAAATCCTTGACAGAAAACACTCATGTTCAGTTGCACATTCACGATGTTCCTGTGTGGGTGTCGGATGGCGCCATTACAGCCGCACTTGCTCCATACGGTACCGTGCAGGGCGCCATCCGCCACGGTAAACTTAAGGTACGGGACAACGTTGTTATTGCAACCGGAGTCCGTTTTGCAACCTTTGTACTGGGGTCGAATAAAGCCGTACCTTCGTACGTGAAATCCAGAGACGGGAAAGGCACTTTCCGCGTACATTATAGTGGCCAAAAGCCCACGTGTCGGATTTGCAGCAAGCCAGAGCACCTTGCCAAGGACTGCCCTGAGGCCCGCAGTACCACTGCCAGTACCGGTAGTACACAGCAGTCACAGCATTCAATGTCACCTACATGTACAGACACTGAACGCACACGTCGACTCCTGTCTGATGTGGTCGCAAACCCAGCCCAGACAGAGCAGCAAAGTAAAGCCCAATCACAATGCCCAACATCCAAGTCTAAGCAGGCTAATCTCCCAGCAGCTGACAAGAGCGACTCCAGCTCCTCTGAGTCTGAAGAGTTGCCTCTTTCTGCTGATACTGAATCATTGGTCGACAACGAAAGCTTATCCAAGCCAGAAAACCAGCAGCTGTCTAACTTGCCCTGCGACTCCGACAGGGAGGCCAAGAAGGCAGACAGCGATGCATGTACAGCCCTAGGCCCACAGCTGGGAGGCCATAGCGACGATGATCCTGATTCTGGCGGGTGGGAAGTCAACCGATCCAAGCGTTCACGCCATAGCGTCACACCTGATCGGGACCAGAGTGCCACCACCACTGGATCCAAGCAACGGAAAAAACGGAAACGAAAATCTCCTGAGAGTGGCCAACAAGTCCTGCAGTAAGTCACTTCAGAAACTTACCGCTTTGATACACATTTACCTTTCATTTTTACACCCATGCCTAGTTCTGTCATTCATCACAATACCGTTAAATGTTCACTCAGACTCCTTTGCACCAATGCATTTAGCTTAGGAAACAAGCTAGCTGAGTTCCAGCACACACTGCACCAGCATAATCCCGACATAGCAGTAGTGACGGAAACAAAGTTTTCCTCTGAAACCGTTCCACCATCCGACTCCACATTCCCTGGCTACACCACCTTCCGGCTGGATCGAACAGCACGCGGTGGCGGAGTGGCGGTATGGATCAGATCTACACTCCCAGCCATGGTAATTGATGAGTTATTTTCTCCACATCACGAACTCATTTGGCTATCCATTCAATTGTCCCCTGGACAAAAGATAGTCTTGGGCGCTGCTTACAGGCCAGGTTCGACGGGGCCCAGTGACCTTACGCTCATTAACCATCTCGATGACATCCTTCCCTCTGCTCGTGCACTTGGTGCCAACCTCATACTCGCCGGTGATTTTAACGTGCATAACCGCAATTGGCTCCATAGCTCGAAGACCACACCTGCGGGGGAAGCCCTCGAAGACACATGCACAGCCCACTTTCTCACGCAGCACGTTCAGAGTCCTACTCGCGGGGATAACACACTCGACCTGGTGATGTCCACGTTCAACTCTCCAGTGACCACGCAGATAATGTCCCCTATTGGTCGATCTGACCACGCTGTAATTCTTTCGGACTTCACAGGTGTTCTTCCTACCCATGAAGCGGCGGTGCAACGAACTGTCTGGCGCTATGAAAAGGCAGACTGGAACCGCCTCCGATCCTTTTTCCGCCAGGTTGACTGGTCAACCGTCATTACTGCCAACCCAGAAACTTCGTGTGAGCACGTTACTGCCACAATCATGAAAGCCGTTTCCCAGTTCGTTCCGTCCAAGACACTGACAGTGAAGTCAACGGATCCGAAATGGTGGACACCTGAGTGTGCAGCCGCCATGAAGGAGAAGGACAAACGCTGGCGCACTTGGAGGAAGCACCCTCACGATTTTGCACTGAAACATGAGTTTACCCGTTCTGTAAACAATGCTATCGCAGTCCTCGCTAGATCTAGAGTTTCCAAAGAGAACAGCCTCAGACATAGCTTGTCGAATGGGTCCCTGAAGGAGAAGGAATGGTGGACGAAGCTAAAGTGTGCTTGTGGCGAGGGTCGGAACACTGACATTCCCCTGCTCGTTGATAGTGAAGGTTGCGAGAGGGCCACAAGCTATGAGAAAGCGGAGGCTTTCGCACGTTTCTTTTCCCACAAGTGCAGTGTGCAAGGCCGCGACCTTACCACGATGGACTTACCGGACACGGCATTCGCTGACGCACCTGCACTAACGACAGTCCACTTTCGCCCGGATGCAGTCCACCGGCTTTTAGCTCGCCTGGATGCCTCAAAGGCGACTGGACCCGACGGTATTTCCGCTCGTGTCTTGAAGGAATGCGCCAGAGAACTTGCCAAGCCACTGTGTCAGCTCTTTGCTCTTTGCTTCCAGCACGGAGTCCAGCCACAAATGTGGAAGACTGCCAGCGTGGTTCCAATCCACAAGCGATCTTCACGATCCGCCCTAAGGAATTATCGTCCAGTTTCACTGCTGAGCATAATCTCTAAGATCATGGAGAGCGTTATCAATCGTCAGCTCATGAATCACCTTGAGCGTTACAAACTCCTAACACCCCACCAGTTCGGGTTTCGTCGCCGCCTCGGGACCTCAGATGCGCTACAGGCTCTACACCACGCCTGGATCACAGCCGTCGGCCGAGGCGGTGCAGCACGTATTCTAGCCGTGGATATTGCCGGAGCATTCGACCGTGTGTCCCATGCTGCCCTCCTCCACAAAGTCCGCCATCTTGGCATTGGCGGCCCCCTGCATACCTGGCTCTCTTCCTACCTAGGTGGACGGTCCATTCAATGCTTGGTGGGCGGCCAAACCTCATCGCTGTATACCATATCAGCAGGAGTTCCCCAAGGGAGCATACTCGGCCCCACACTCTTCCTGATTTACGTGAACGACGCCTCAGAGACCCTGTCACCCGGAGCCCACCTGGAGGCGTACGCCGACGATACTACCTTGTACAGCCTGATATCCCTCGACACATCCCCAGCCGACGCAGCATTGAGCCTCCAGACTTCTGTTGATCGCTTGCATCAGTGGGGCTGCAGATGGCGCATCTCCTTCGAACCGTCGAAGTCCCAAGCCATGACCGCCACTCTCCGCAGAACCCCCATCAATTTGCCTCGCATTGTCTTCGGCGGCACTCCTGTCCTTGAGGAGAAGGCTCTCTCTTTACTTGGAGTGACCTTTGACTCGAAGCTGTCATTCAGCACTCATCTCCGGAAGGTTGCCACTCGAGCCAAACAACGCCTAGGCTTCCTGCGCCGTGCAGCGCACATTCTCTCTCCAGCCGGCCGCACCACGGTATACAAGGCATTTGTTCGACCAGTTATGGAGTATGCCCCCCTCATCTGGATAGGTGCTCCGCCCAGCTACCTGCGACGCCTGGATCATATCCAACGCTGTGCTCTGCGAATCATCGGTCCAGGTGCACTATTACCTAGCCTGGCCATCCGTCGTACTGTTGCCTCGCTTGCCTGCCTATACAAGCTGCATTACCTGCCTGGCCCTCCGCAGCTGCTCTCTGTTTTGCCACCGCGCCATTTCCCCTCATCCAGCCCCAGAACTCGCAGCGAGCATGGTAGCGTCATTGGCCATGACCACCAGCTCCAACACCAGCTGCTTGCATCTGTCCCGCTGGCATTAAAGCGCTCGTTCCCACACTGCAGTATTAGTGACTGGAACTCCCTCCCCGCCGCTCTTCTGTCCCAGCCTCCCCACAGCAAGGGAATGCAAGCATTCAAAACTAATGTTTATCGCCATCTGCGAAGCACAAACTGGCTCTGGGCAGTCGACTCGCTATGATGATGCTCTCGTCGTTCTCCTCTATCCCTATCTATGCACCACAACTGGCTCAGACAACCGACTCGCCATGATCAGCCATGATGATGCTCCTCTCAGTAACAGCCCTTGTAATTTGTTAATGGTGTACTAGCTGTGCTAGTACTTGTTAGCAACAATCCGAACTAGCGCACACACTGCACTGCATTGCTTTGTACTGCATTCAAGACTGACGTCATGCGCTTTGTTTTGCTGCGTAATCACAAATGGCACCAGCCCATTTTGCGGAAAAGAAAAACAAATCTTGCTTGCCCTGTTGTGCTCTTCCAGACAACGGATCGTGCTTCAGCAGTGTTTCTTTTCCCACCATCCCTCCCTATCCAACTTATTCGTAGCTTTGCTGCCAGCCCGAGTGTCACCTCGACACTGTATTTCTTCAGTATGTCTGACCTAACTGTCGACACTCTCAAGGCAATGCCTTGCCAAGCCCCCGCGGCGAGCCTTCTCAGCGCGGCTTGAATCCGAAAGGAAACTTAGTAAAAGTATTTTACAGGACCGTTTGCTGGCACAACTAGCCCTTGGTAGTGAGGTCTGCTCCGGCCAGGAGAACCAGCAACATGACAGTGCGGACACGGCTCGCGAGCCCAGAAGCCCGACTTGCACCAATGCCTCCTCCGCCAGCTCAGGTGACGCGG